ACAATAAAAGGGAGCAAGGGCAAAAATGGTCCAATCATCCCTTGTTTCCATCTTTACACTCTCCATTGCCTCTCATTCCCATGGTGCCTTGTGTTTTTGTGTGTGTGCGCGCACGTGTGTGTGTGTGTGTGTGTGTGTGTGTGTGTGTGTGTGTGTGTGTGTGGTTCTTTATTTGGTGCTGTGTTAGGCTGACACCCAGCAGATGTTTCTGTTGTGTGAATTCCTGAAAGCAGAGGTGTTTAAAATATCTGGGCAGATTGACATACATCTCCACACTCCCCCACTTTCCCTCCTACTCTCTCTCCCTCCCTCCCTCGCTCACTCTCTCCCTCGTATCCTCGGGCTCCTGTTACTGACTGAGCTACAGCAGGTAGACAATTCATAATTATTAAGGTGGAGGAAAGCCTCACACTAGATTGCCTACAGGTGTTTTTTTAATGCAGTGGAATGCACACAGAAACAGTTCAAGTGCAACACAGTGCAAAGAGCAGCGTCAATGCAAAAACCAAGCTACTTTTAAAAGCTTTCTAATTCCACATTCATTGTGTTAATGCTCTGATTTCCTTCTTTCAAACTGCTTCCTACGGATTTGTCCAATTATTCCTGTAAACAGCATCAGGGGCTTGTTGCTAGGTTACAGCCAGGTATGACACACCGTTACCACAGGAGTTGTTAAGACGAAGGTGTTTCCAAATAAAGATGATTCATTACCTTCCAGCTTAAGAGTGAAACCTTCATGTCTATTGTCACCTTCCTCCATCAGCTTGGCTGTGTGACAGGCGCAGACAGGCTCACTAAGCCAGATGGAGATGCATGAATTCGCAGTTGATTTCATGTGAAAGCACACAGATTTTGAATGGTGTCTCGGCCAAATTCTTACAGCTCCTTGAAGACAGTTTCTGCTTAAATATCTAGTTAAGAACAACTATCAACTGACTGTTTCAACTCAAAGGCATCTTTAAGAACCAAATTGCCACTCAGACAATAAAACTGTCAGCGACAGTGTAGCTAAATGTGTGCACGTGTATGTGTGTGGTTCCCCTACAGGGCATCCAGAAGATGAGTCTCGCCCATCTACACTCCGTCTCACTGTTTGAACCCCGTCCTGGAGTCGTAGAGGGGGGCAGGAAGCCATGATGCATGCCACGTTTCCCCTGGGTGCTGGCTGATGCCCCCTGACAGATTGAGGCTGCAAGGATGTGTTCGATGTCTACGTGTGTGCATCTGTGTCTATGTGGGCTCTGTCTGTCTGTGTCTCAAGGATGTTGGAATCATCAGAATAATGGGAGGCAAACAGCACAGTTGGGGGACAAGACCACTGCAGCTTTGTTTGTTTGTTTAAGCAAATGAAATCAAAATTCAAGAGTAAATTAGTCCTAAAAGCAATCATCAATGTTTTGTAGCTGATCCTCCAACTGTGATTTCTGCTCTATTTATTTTTTCAAAGTTGCCAAATCACTTTTTAATTGCTTTTTTGTGAAAGCCCGGCCGCACAGTTTATGCTCAGTCACTGAGTCAGTTTCAGACACCCACAATGAATTTACATTTAAATGGATGGTTTGACACAAATTTATAAAAATGACAAGTTCACAGGGGGGTGGGGGTGGGGGGTGGGGGATGGAACAATTTCTTGGTGAACAGCAACTTGACACAGTGACTTCCTAAAGTCTTGTTGTCTTGTTTTGCCAGGCAACCAGCAAGGAACGGGTCTTTAAGAAATAATTTGACAATTATTTTTCTTACATTTCACAGACTAGATAATTAAGCAGATTCATCATAATGAAAACAATCATTAGTTGCTACCTTACTTCACGCACAGGCATGAGAGTGGTATCAATCCTCTCATCTAAATCTCAGCAAGAGAGCAATAAACATTTCTTCCTAAAATGTCAGATCTTTCTCTGACACTACACATAACTGTATGCATGCCAGTGTCAGTAGAAAAGAAGCTGCATGGTGGAAACAGACGCTTTGATGTCATTTTAAGCCTGCACAATGCCAAGGACCCAAACCACATCTCAACATTGGGAAGAGATGGTTTTATATGTGTGCAACAACCACAGAGCGGTGAAATTACACCCCGTGTTTACAGGAGCTCAATATTTACATATTAAAAAAAACACTTAAGACAAAACAACCCAGCATCACACTACCACAAAATGAAATATTAAATTACTCATATGCTGTTGCCAGGGAAATTCCTCAAGATTACATCCCCCGTGTGTGTGCATATGTGTGTGCACAACAATAAGGCCTACTTTGTGCGAGCTGGTGAAGCATGGCCATGGCCTGTTTAATGAGATACCATGTGGTATGATGCTATGTGTGTGAAATTGAAGCGCGGGCTGTGTAAATTGAATTAAATGGGTTTGTGTGCGATAAGAATGTGCATGTGAGGAACGGCCTCTAAGCTAGCATAGTCCGCCTATCAGTGTGTGTGTGTGTGTGTGTGTGTGTGTGTGTGTGTGTGTGTTATGTGATTAACATGGACACAAGAGTAAATTTCTTGCCAGCAGCTTCGATGGAGGAGGAACAAGTAGACTGTACACCAAATCATGCCTGGAAAAAAAAGGGGGTTTCAAATGATCTTTGAACATGTAATGAACACAGCGTGCAATCCAAACTCCCCATGGTTTAACCTCCACATGGCTTAGCTGGAAGCTTTCACTGAAATAAATAGCTTCTTGTACTTGTTCCCTGCAGCAGCGAAAGCTTCCATCGTCTCATCTAAATGACCTCAAATGTCATTAATTAAAGTTTGGAGAGTAAATTACATCCCCTGTTTTCTGTTGAATCAGTCTCAGCTTTTGTAAAAATGAATGAGTTTAAGATCTGAGTCACTTCAAAATGTTTCCTTGAATACCTGCTAAGTGACTTAGACCATGATTGAAAGGTCAGAACATGAGACTGTAAACTGATTTTGGAGCTGTGCATTGACTGGTGTACTACATCCCAACGGCCACAGATCACCGCATTTGTTGATCAATCACTGATTAGCTAAGAAAAACAAATAATCACTGAACTGAACTGTGTCAGGGTCTGAAGAGAGGACCTCTCCCCAACACCAGTGATCCATGCGAGCGCTCAAAGAGCGGGGGGAGGAGGCTGTTTAGTCAGTGATTCACCTCAGCCTTTCTTTACTCTCTGAGCCCTCTGAAAATACCCAAGGAGCCAAAAAGAAAATACCTCACAGCTGTTCGCTCTGCAGCCAAGCCATTCCTGTGATACTTTTCTTACACAGACAGACGCCCTACATCTGAACCGAACCCCCGACGAGTCTTTGAATCTAATCTTTCTATAAGATAATCTCTGCCTTGTTTTGAACTTCACTTGAAACTGCTAGTTGTTGTTTTTGTTCTGCTTCAGAAATGCTCTTAAAATTGCAGAGGGATCCGGAGGGCCAATAAGGAAGGGATGAGGAGAGAACACAAGGCGGCTGGGGGCTGGAAGTATCACGTATGCCACTGGGAATGTCAGTGTCACGACCTTAGAGGAGAAGGCAAAAAGATCAGTCTCTGGAGCGCTTATCTTGCTCTCCATCTGTAGTAGATTTTGTGACACGAGGAGCACAGAGGGATAGAAAACACTTCAGGCCCCCCTCTTACCCCCTCTAAACCCGAAACAAAAGCGCTCCTCTTGTTTTCTGGCTGTGAGAGAGGCACACAGCATGAATAATTAACATGGGACACACAATAACTATCAGCTGCCTATCTGAGAGTTGTCACTTATCTGTTGCTGGGATCAAAAACACAGTTGAGCTTGTTTCTCAAAAAAAAAGGAAAATGCGTTTTTTTTCTTCCAAAAGTCATTTTACTTTGACCCTTACGATGCTCACAGGGAGCAGCCATTTGTTTGATTGTTTGTTTTTCATAGTGGCTGCAACTTGTCTCATCTGTAGAAATCGGATGTTGACTTCCACCATGTCTTTCTGTGTAAAAGATAATTATTTTGTTACATAAATCCCACACTTCCAAACTTTAAATGCATTTCCCCGCTGAGACTAAGAAACTCTAGAGAAAGAATCACATGACAAAAATATTGGACTTCTGTGTAGGGCTGCGGTTAACGGTTATTTTATTATTGATTAATCTGTCACTTTGATTAATTCTTAACTGAAGTGAGAAACTCCCTTAGAATTTCCGGATGTCTTTATGTCTTTATGCTAAGCTAAGCTAACTGGCTGCTAATATGAGTGTGGTATCGATCTTCTCTCCTAACTCTCACCAAGGAAGCTAATAAGTGTATTTTTCCAAAATGTCTCACCCTTTGAAGAACCAGCGTGTAAGATCAAGTGGCAGCCAGTGTTTGGTCACATGGTGGTGCAACGAGGTGGTCTCTGTGGAAGAAGACCCGCTCCCTATGTAGCCATGAAGGGCTCATTCTAAGCTAATGAAAACACAGCAATTCTGTTTCAGGTGATTTATACACTAATGAAAACATAACTATGAATATTTAATTCCATTTCTCCCCCTAAATCGTAAACACACCGTCCTTATTGTGAATGAAACATGAATTAATTACACAATTTTGATGGATATGACTTGTTGGTTAAACTGACATAACAGACATAGGCTTAATTTCTACTGCACTGAATTTCTGTTTTTGTTGTGTATGTGTGTAACATCTCATTATGTTATTGTTTTTAAGAGTAAAATACATGTCAAATGTAAGGTCACTGAGACACACAATCTCCTTAAGAGAATCTGAGGTAAATGTAGAGAAGGGAAAAAGTAAAGAAACAAATTATGAAATTTATAAGATTAACATGGTAACTGTTGTATGTCTTGGTTCTGCTCTTTATGGTATAGAATGTGATGTATTTGGCTTTCAATAATGAAAATAACGCTGAGTTTGTGTTGATCACTCCAGCTAGGTCAGTAGTGACTATTGTGGAGGTAAAAGCCGGAGGCGTGTGTGTCGGCGGAGAGTCTCCGCCCCCCGGAGCAGAGCAGGCTGCAGGATGAGCCGCTCAGCTTCACTGAGTTCACCAAACTGTTTGCATACCAGTCTGTCCTCAACACTGCGCGCCTGTCCAAACTGGGATCGCAGATCTCGGAGCGGTGGATTTTATTAGTCGGACGCTGTAGGGCACAATTCACCTCCGTGGACGCCCTCCCTTGCATGTTTTGTTTTATTTTAATACTTCCACCCAACAGTCCCAGGTCTCTCAAACAGGCTGTTCAGTGACATTTTCGCAGGGAAGCAGCTCGCAGCCACAGCCAGAGGTTTCTGCACCGAGCTGCGTTACGAGGTAAGACCGTGTCCCTGTTCGGGAAAGTGTCTCCAACTTAAATGTTGTGATCTGAAATGAAAGAGAAAATGACAGTTTAAATGAATCGTGACACTTTCGTTGAACAAGCTCGTTATTTACAGTATCGTGTCTAACGGGCGATGTTGTGCGCGCTGATTGATTCTCAGTTCACTTTGTTGTTGCAAGTTACATTTTCTGCTCAGTTGAGTTGCAGCAACCGCGAGAACATTTTGTCAAAGAAATCAAATAATGGAAACAGAAGCCAAAGCTCAGTCTAATTGTAAAAGTCGTTTTTATTAGGCTCGAGTTAACCTCGGGTCAGGTCGCGATGAAAAAAATTCTTGCACATGCAGTAAATATTCAGTGAAGATTAAATATGTCCAGAATCAGCGGGAAATGTGGTTTAATATACTGGTTTTAATATAACACTAAATCACACCATGAGAAACATGACAGCAGGAGCAATCCGGAGCGATGTGTGTCAGTCTCCAGGCTGGCGTCCTTCCCACGGGGGTCCAGCCACAACCGCGGAGCAGGAGGAGGAGGCTGTAGAGATGTATGGGGGTCACCAGATGGGTGTCTCTGGGCGCTACCTTTGCTGTAGGGCAGGACTTCACTGTCAGTTTGCATTAATCAGAGGGATGCATCATCCCAAACCACCTTCTTCCTCGGTCTGATCTCCAATGGAGCAAACATGACACTTCCAAAAGCTCCATACTTTTGAGGGCAGGAGTCAAAGCGTTTATTACCAAGAGCTGAGCATGTGATTCGGCAGGTATCCAAGCAGATTTCAGAGTGATTTTAATCTGTAGTAAGTGTGATGCTCAACTAGGACGCCAGCAGCTGAAAAAGTGCAGATTCAGAGTAAAAAGTCACACAAAACTCTGGTTACTGTAACACCTGGAAATCAGGTTATAATCAGATTTTGCCAGAGGAGATGGGCTCCCAGGGACCCATTAACACACACCAGTGTTCAGGTGAGTGTGTGGTGCTGGATTTTCTTGCCTCAAGTTAAAGTGGCAACCAGTCGCTGTGGCTCTCCATCTCCCTGAGGCCGCTACAGTGTGTGTCAGGAGAGAGGAGAAAAGAATCATATCACGCCCCAGCAGCTTGGACAGACTGACAAATCAGCTTCTGTCATGATTAACGACTTCAGCTGCTATATTGCTGCATCATGTAAAGATTCCTCTCTTTCTCTGTCTGCCTCTTTGTTCCACCCTTTTCTGTTTTCTCCAAAACCTAAATGATTGGGAGATTTGTAGAGAGAGAAGCACACAAACTGAAAACAGAGGCGTGCTTGTTCACCATGTTGTGGATAAACATTTGCCTTGTCAAAAAAAAAAAAAAAAAGAAGGCAACAGTAGTATTGATGCTTTTGAAACAGCTGCCAACACGAATGACTAAACTTCGCCTGAAGCCTTTCTCTCCTCAGCTTGATTCACATGAGTGTTGGGAAATAGTTTAGTCGCTCAGACACAGAAGTGATGTCTGCAGGATACAAGCACAAATGCAAACAACAGGGTTTGTAAACCTACAGTTTAATTTATACAGGGAATAAAGGTCAGCAACGATGCATTCGGTTTCCTCGGCGGGCTGCGGAGGATAGCAATTAGGAGGGAGCATGTTTGAGTGGATTCAAATCTCCTACGAGCCGAGCCGGTATTTATTCCACCTACAGACATAGAACACCTGGTGTGAGACTTGCCATTGGTGATCAGTGCACTCATTTTAATAGTGCCTCTGATAATGTGTTGCTCTTAATCACACATTCACAGTGCCAGCGAAGAAACGAACAGCAAAAACAAATGAACAGGAAAGGAAGTGTGAGATAGAGAGAAAGTGTGTATATTTGTGCGTGTGTGTATGTGTGTGTATGGTGTATTCGTGGCTGCTCCTTGGCAGAGACGGGGAAGTGTGAATTGCAGTGTATGGCAGCTCCTGCTGAGAGGGACGGGGTGACTGACTTGATGCCGCCTGGCCTGGCAGAGCACAGCTCATTAAAGGCCTGAGATTAATCAATCTGCAGTTCCACATGGGCGCCTCCGGTTTCTGCCTCTCCTCTCCCCTCTTTCATTTTTTCTTCTTTTTTCTTTTTTGGCCTTTCCGATCACAGTTGCTGATTTTTTTTTTTTTCATCTCTGATTCACCCTACCTCACCACAGTCTCCCTCCTCCTTCTCTAACCATCTCCCTCTCTGTATCATCGTATCTATTATTCTTTCTCCGTCTTGTCCCCATCCTTTCTCTCCTTCATTTTCTTCATCCTGCCTGCAGAGCGCGTCTGCATCTATATCGATGGGTTCGTAGCGGCAAGGCGGAGGGAAAACGAGGCTGGGTCATCGCTCTACACTCGCTTTCCCCTGTATCAGCCCCAGTACGGCAGCAATGGTCCGTAGAGAGCCCGGAACTAAATGGAGTATCTATTGGCTCAATGAGAAAATTGCTTTTTTCGATTGCTAGAGGACCCTTCATTTAATGTGTGTGATGCAGAGGCCTCAGTCAGTAATGGGTTCAGCATCTTTGTTGTCAGGAGACATGAGAAAATGAAATTTGCTTTTCAGCAGGCAGAAATAATTTACTCTCGAAAAGGAGCATTTTTCATCAGCTGTTTAAAAGACACAAAGGTGCATGTTATTTTATTTGTCTGCTCTAGGTTTTGTAAGTGCTGAATGTCCAAACAGTGTGGTTTGATGTTCTCTGCTGAAGACAGTTTTTTAGCTAAAGGTCATGTCATATCAAAACTCTGCTACCTTATAAACCAGCCTGGTTTGGTGGCTGCGTAAAACTGGACTTTTAGTCGTTTGTGAAAGCTTGGTGATGTGGAAAAGCTGGTGTATTGGTTAAAGCAAAAAGTGCCAAAACATAATGGAAACAGGGTCAAAAATTAATCATGACATACATGATTAATGTCCACTGAAGCTTCTGCTCCATCGAAGAGATGAAAGATTGAGGCAGACGAAAACCTCAGATCTGTGTGTGAGTGTGGCGTTCCCCACATGAATATACGAAACAAACATAAATGCCGCATTTCCATCTCATTTTCCACATCATTTTCATTTGTTTGAGGTTTGACTGGGGCTCTTTTAATTATGTCATCTTTTTGCGCCCTCTTCTTCTGCAGTGGTTTCATGGCACTCAAATGGAGAATGATTATCTCAACTCTCATATATTGCATAACATTAGTGGATGGAAACAGGCATTAATCGGAGGGCAGGTTTTCTGCAAATTCAGATAAAAATTTGTGCTAAATTTGGATGGAAACTTGACTTGTGTTTGTTATTACAGCTTGAGCTAATTACATCTTCTCCCTCTAATTTCCAATGGTGGTGGAGATTGTTCAGAATGAAGACAACACAAGAAAGTTCAAAAAAATGTTTCTTTTCCTTTTCAGTGACACACAACTAGAAAAACCATAGCGACATTCCTGCTCTGCGCGATTGTTTATTGCTCTCTGTCAGTGAATGAAAGAACAAAATACAGCAACTGTGTGGCGGCGTCTCATATTCAGTAACGAGGCAAGGTGGACCGTCCTGTCCCTGCTCTGTGATAGAAGAGAAATTACTGTCAGGAGTAAAACTAAAGCACCGCACAGCCTGAACATCAGTTGTGGTAAAGCTGTAAAGGGGTGAAATCCAGTGCTGCAATGATAACATTTTACTTCAACACCCCAGTTTATCATTTATAAGTAGTATAAAAATGATTTCTAACACACCATAATGTAGTTAATATAGTGAGAACTTGTTTGGTGTTTTCACCTATTAGCGTATCTTATGAAGGCATATTTATATTATATTGTACCACATACTATTTATGTACCAGCTTCCACTTAGGAATTCTTCACTGGAAGATACAGTTGTTGAAAACAGCATTAATGAACATTTTAAAAACTTTATGTCCTCAACTACATTATTGTATGTTATAACTCTTTATTACATTTTTATATACTGCTTATAAATGCCAAATGGACAGACGTTACAAATCAAAACCGACGCCATTATGGTGGGACTCACTGTTCACCCCTTGTGTCAAATATAAAGCACTTTCAGTTTAACTTTTAGTCACTGTCATGCATGAGCACAAGAGAAAATGCTGCATAATCCAGTGATATTCACACATCCATGCATGCCTTTGTCCCTTGCATGCCTCCATATGGGCCAGGAAGTAGTGAGTGACCTAAGCGCAGGGGCAGCTGGCAGACCCAGAGTTCACCAAGAGCAGGAAACTGAGGGGCCTCTGTACGCTGACGCTTCCTTTTTATCAGGAGGAAGCAGGCTGGCTGTTTGTGCTCAACCCAAGAATTCTTTGTGGTTATCTTGCATTCACCCCATTTCCCTCAATAATGGCTGTGCTGAGCAGGTAATGAGGTAAAAGGTATGTATTTGACAAGCTGAGCTCGGCAGATAGCAGGCACTCAGCCGGGCTCACAGCTTGGTAAGCGTTTAGCCGAAGGCGCGCTCGGACCCATCTCAGGATGTTTAAATCACATCTATCGTGAAATCCCCCCAGCCATCTTTTCCTTCGCATAATGTTTTTCAGAACTAATAAACTGTGTCACTCAGGTGTCCATTAAAGGCTGCCGGTGAGGACCCACCGGTCATTACACAGAGCGAGCACACTCAGTAAATCCCTCTGCTTTTGCTGGCAGGTTTCTTCATCACCTTGTGCTCTTTTTATCCCCCAGATGTAGTCAAAGCTCAGAGAGGGGCTTAGGCTGGCCGGGAGTCTGGGCCTGATAGGTATGTGACACGGGGCTAATGTGTGGGGAGATTACCTGCCGGGCTTCAGAGAGACTGGAGCACTACTCTGATCCACTGAATGATGCTGAAGTTTAAGCACATTGCTGCCTAAGAGAACTTTGTACAAAAGAAATGGCAGAGTGCCACGAAGCTTGATGCTTTTTGCCTATAAAATGGAGGCATTTCTTTGCTGGATGAGCAACCAGTTCCTTGGTTAAAATCACACAATAGTCATGGGTTGACTCACATCAGGTTCAGTGTTGTT